ATTTGACTTTGATACTTGTTAGCTCCCGTTTGATTTTTCTTTGATGCAGTGGTTCCATGAATGCCTCTGATCGCGGCTGGCCACACCCCGCTTTCGTAAGCAAGGTTTTTGCAGACGTCGATCCAGGTAGTTTTCCATCGACGAGAGCCGTACATCATCCAAAGACGAAGTTGGTCTACGTTTTCAAGTACGGTATCCAGTCCGGTTCTTATTTGACCCTCTTTTCGCCAGAGCCAGACTGGACGAATAGACGGTGAAAGGACAAAACGTGGTCCGGTTCGCGTACGACGTGTCCCAATCGTTATAATCGACGATTCTGTGGCAGTTTCCAATGGGTTCGGTCGAGATTCCGTTGTGACAGTTTACTCTCAACGTGTATGTGATCAAGGACCTAATATTTGGACATTCTAAGCTCTCAGTGGTCGGATTTCTCAGCCATATTGCTGAGGAAAGCGCCCTAAACTTGGTTTTGAGACTAATCTCGTCTATGTGCCAGAGGGTACTTTGAGCTGTCCAAACGCTTTGCGAACCGTGTCTACTACGCGCCGGTAAAATCATCCGTGGTTTGTGCGTGGGTTAGATCATTTATGAAGGCGAGGAACAGACGGGGACCGAGTACGGACCCTCATGGAACACCGCGGGTGGCTGTGGTAGATCCGGATGTGCAACCAGAAACACTGATATGGTCCGTGGCCACAGATGGAACGTAAGTTATCGAGCAATGCCTAGCAAGTATGTGAACCTTTCAGACAGGATGGAATACGCAGTTAATGATGGGATTCTTTTCAGGTTGAAATCACGTTAGCCCGATGAAACATGGTATTTGCATTTGGGAGCAGTGAGAATACCCTCACGGTAATCATTGCACACCAATTACTTATGTGTGTCACTTTTGTAGGTTATACGGACAGGGAAGAGGGCTAGCGTTGCACAGACCTCGAGTAGACACCGAACGCAGTTTATGGCATAGCCAAAAGGGCGCATGAGTGCCCAGTTAGCTGTTCGGAAAAGAACTTCCAAAATTAAATAGCTCAGGCTAAATTGTCGAGATTGGGAACAACAATGTTCAGGCTGGAAGCAATGCGAGTGATGGTTTTCGAACTATTCTTCACGATCAACTCTTGCGTGATCGGTTAAAAACTGATGTCTGCGGTCCAATAAATACCGCCCAATTTTCCGAACTTTTTCAAAGGGTTGGTTCAGACAGAGAAAGGTTATCGAAACCAAGTATGCCACCTTTGCACACAATGCACGTGGAGTTGCATCACTAAATGGAATTCAACATGTGCCGCCACAAACCCAACAACTATTTGACGGACCACGTCCCACAATGCCGAGCGTTATGAACGGATCGGGTATACGACGGTGCAGTTAACAACAACAACAACAACAACAACAACAACAACAACAACAACAACAACAACGAGGAGGAGGAGGACGGGAAGGAGAAAAAAACAAGACAGGAGCAAAAGTAAAGTATATCTTCACGTGCGCATGCACTTTCAACGTTTATAATTCAAGGACATCTATGATAGTTTGTGTGTGTGTGAGAAGAGGAGAGAGTCGATATATACGGGAGTGTGTTTGAGGGAGGCTGGGGTGAGATGAGTGAAAGAAAAACGAAGGTGAGCCCAAGACGGGGAATTGGGGGTGGGGGGCACTTAGAAGAGCGGTGAAATGGGGCGAAGTACAGGACTCCAGTTGTGAAGTGCAGTACTACGGTAAGAGAAGCAAGTGCACACTATCGGTGGATGTGAACTGCAACCCGCACGGAGGAACTTGAGACGCGGCGAGTCACGCTAGACGCGATGATCGCGCTGGAGCTGCTTCGGTGGTGTCAGACAAATTTGGTTCGAGCAAATATAGTTCATGTCAGAACCAGAGCAGAAAAAAATGAAGAAGAAACTTTTCTCGAGAAACAGAGCAAAAAAACACGTATCAACATCTGGACGGATCATAAAATGCGGTGTAGTATGGAAGGCGGTTGTGTATGAGGTGCACTGGACTGCACATCAGTCAGACCGCTTGAAAGCGTCGAGCCACACAGAGTGTGACAGAGATCACACACGGTGTCCGAGATGAAATTAAACCTGCCCATTGCACAAAGTCCACGCAGTGCAAGCAGGGAAGTAAATCGAAGCGGGCCGAATAGACGTTTAGACAGAGAAAAGAGGAGAGCAGTGGCAACCAACGAAAATACACACTGGTAAAACCAATGTCACGTGAAATCCAGTCAGAATTCAAGAACAAACAGCTGAGAAAAACGGGACGGGGGACTGATCAGAAGAGAATGTAAACTGGGCGAACCACGACAAGGACCGCACGACAGATATATGCTCAGCCCCATCGTAACTATACAAGAGGAACAAAAAGAGAACTCATTTGGGGAATGTGGATGGACATGGGTATGTGCGCAGAGTGGGATGAGGGTCTATATGCACTCCGCAACTGGGAAAAAACAGCAAAACCATTTATTGGAAGCCATCGGAGTAGTTGTGGTGGTACATAAAATGGTGGGGGGGGGTGATTGGTGATCGGTAGAAAAGGGCACACGCTCAGGGAGAGAGATGTATGGCAAATGAGAAGGGTTCTGAGACAGGAAAAGAGAATGCGGTCGATCGTGAGTGAATGACCTCCCGGGGAAAGGAGGCTGTATACAGGCAGACAGAGAGAGAGAGAATCAAACCAGAGCAAAAATTAGGAGCACGCATGGGCTGACGGGTGGGCGTGCTTTGACATATATGTGTCAACAGCGCATCTATAATGCACAATAGGTAGTTAGGAGGATAGTAGTGGTCAGGGGCGGCAACCAGAACGAGATGTTTGAGCGGTAGAAACAGACATTCTCCGATCTTCCTTTCTTATTCCTTGACCGATGCGTTCGTGTGGAAAGAATCCGGTGCATAGATTGCACCCCAGTATGTCAAAGCGATCAGAGGAATGGATTCAACGATGACCTAACCGGAGGGTTTTGTGTCATCGCAGTCGGATTCGGAGCGTAAATAGGGTTCGACTGAAAGGGTGCAGTTCCCGGTGGGACAGCGCCGAGGGGATAACCAGCTGACATGGGGGTAGAGGTTGTGGCAGAGGTTATGGGGGCGGTAATCGCAGTATAGCCGACTGGTGCAGGCATGGGTTGGAGAGTGTAGGGACCGACAGCCGGGTTCATCATCGGAGTGGAAGAGCCGAATGCAAAGTTTGTTGTCTGGGAAGATGACGTGGCGAAACAGAAATGAAATTAACGACTCAGATTGAAAACAGATTTTTTCCAATGAACCAAAATAGGCATGTTTGATTACAACTGTATGTCATTCTGTCGGATAAGATAAAGGCAACTCAGTGCCAACCAAACGGAAATGATACGGTCAATTGGAATTTTAAATAGGCGAAATTTCTGAGCTAGGCTGAAGAAGTTCAGATTGTAGAACTCAATCTCATTCGCACGTCGGTTTGCATCAGCACTAATCTCACGTTTCCCCATTGTGATTCTTTGTCGGTCACTCAATAGGTGGGGCCATGAAGAATAAAACCTCAAACCAGTACTAAGATAAAGATACCGATTACGGAAAACTAAATGTGTACAGGAAATGAGCGGATGCAAAGGTACCACTATTGACTGCATTCACTTGGAACTATTCAGGTTCTCTAACCATTTTTTATTACACATCAGTGCATGATGAACAGCAGACCGGTTGAATCTCCTAGTCACGAGAACCTGCTGTTCACTGATGAAAATCGGTAACCTAAGACCCGAAACTTGGAGTGGTGAACAACATCCGGTCCCGATAGGTTAGGCCTGGTACTGAACAGGACGACAAGAAGCTGGTGAGACTGATCCCAAAGTTCTCAACCGGTCAACTCCCCTGATCGAAATCCTCATACCCTAAAATCAGGTTGTAGTCTTATCAACCCCTGGCTTGTTCTGACCACCACCTGCCACGGTAAACACAGAAAGCTAGGGAGGCTTATTCATAAGCATGTTCTAAACAGGCACCAGTCAACACAATCCATCGAGGCCTAAACCACAGCAATAGTGTTCGAGCATCGACAACACAAGTCCTCGTCTTCTAACAGTAAAGAACGTGTCTAGTCAACACTCGTCTAGTCCAATGGTGGAATTCTGTCCACAGGTAATGAATTCGATCATGTCTCACCGAGTAAATCTTACCAGCCATGCTTGATAGCTTGGTAGTTCACCATTAACAACTCTGCAACTGTTGAGGTCCTAAAGGGATTTTATTCAATTCGAGACAGAACACATAAGAGAACGTTTTCCGAATGACTAGCACACTGGTCGTCAGTCGACTCCTCGTTACGTTGCTCACCAGAAGCTTGAAACATCATCTTGAGCTTGAAAACAATGCCAACTGTTATATGTGGCTGAGGGTGGGGGTTAACAAACTGATCATTTCAAGGGGTTAGTTTCATATTACCACAACACATTTTATACACCACCCGGTATGATGTGATGCTTACGCAATAGCCTGTTTGACATGCACAATGCAGATCGGAACAAAGGTGGAATAAAGCACACACACATTAGTCACCGGGATATTTATGTTGCCATCGGATGATGACAGCCACACCAGTAGGCATACAGAAATGCACATGTGGACAACATTCCAACCGGAAATCAATACAGGGCAACACGTGATCAGGTGCTGCTGAGCATGACCCACAAAAATTTGGGCACAATCCGAATTGGACTACTGAGAAAGAGAATACGGGAAATGCGTAATAACTCCTTAAATCACGGTGTAAAGGTTTCACAGTTCGCATGGAATATTAACAGCATGTCGAGTGTCATTTCAAAGCATTATTATTGTTTGCCAAAAACTTGAGGATACTAATGTTAAACTTTGGATCGAACACATAAACGACTAATTTTATGCGACTGCTAAGTCATAGAGGCGATCAATCATTTCAACCCATGAACTCATCACTTGAGCGAATAAGCGGAGAAGAGCAATTAACTAGTCGGAGCAGAGTACTTAGGGCTACCTCACAACAGCAGTGGTCCGCCAAATCGGACAGCTCGAAGCCAATTATGTCACATACAATCCACGTTGGGCCTATCTAATTGGGTTCAGGAAGCTAGGGATAAAACCCGAACGGAAGATCAGTCCAATGCACCAGCGAATAAAACACAAAGCCGACTCTCAAAAGCTTCTCCTAATAGGTCTGCGGAAGACAACACAAGTGTTTCGATCACGTACTCGTGTTGGATCTATACACGAATGCCTTGCGGAGCAGACTACGACTACGGCTAGGGTTAGCTAAAATAACGTGAAGCAGGCTACCCTCTGAAATCTCGAATCCATTTGGAAATTCATGCTCTCCCCCCCCCCCGAAAAAAACGGGAGATTCCTTCAGATTATGCTTTTCAAGTATATTACTTAAAATCTGACAACTACAGTAGGAAATAAAGAAGCCATTGATGATCGAATCTAAATCTCTTCTTCATTCAGTATCCCGGATAGTAATCAAATCCACCAGCAAATCGGTTGACCTAAATAAAAATTGAAACGTTTAAATAAGTTGTACACTGTCTCCGAACAACGGAAACAAAACCAGACTTGGATTATCGAATTGCATTCTTCATATGCGACCTAATCTCCACGCTTCACCACTCGAGTGCTCCAGACAAGGTAGCATATAATGCTCCAGGGCTACGCTAAGAACGAAGGCTGAGCGTGTGCTTCGTGACTGAATTCCTGTCTGTTACAGAATATGCATTGTATGTCTTCACAGTTCAGCGTAATTCAACAGCTACGGATCAAGAGGACTCTGCTCATTCACTTTGTCCGTCAAGATGCAGCGACCGATTGTAGTGCACCTGAGATGAAAATGATTCGTAAAATGACCCGTATCTCCTGCTCCAAAGTGTACATCGTAGGAATCACCAGCTAATTCAATACTCCGATGAGATCCCTGTATGAATCAAAAAGATATGTGCCGGCTCAGATGTGATCGCAGCCAAAAGGACGGACAAAGAAGTTCTCTTGCCTCAATTTTAAACACGATGATCTCAAATCCATCACATTGTTATCAGCTACATCTGGCGCCGATTAAAACGGCCATTCCTACTGGCCCACACATATGGAAACGGATTACGCTCTGGTACACACCAGATTTTGTCGACGGTTGATAAACAACCACAACAAAGTCACCTCAAACGCGTGCCCACAGTACAGTGTAAATTACAACTGGAAATTGGTTTTCGCAGTGTGACCCTGACATTGTCCCCCCATTTTAAACACTCTTCAAAGGACTCACTGAACAGGGAAGGTCAATCAAGAATCAATCAATCCAAAATCGATGCATAGTGACACAACATCTAAGCACATATGATCCAGTACATCAACCTAAGCTAGACACTTACAGAGCGGGTTAGGCTTTTGAGTCAAAGGCTCCGGTTAGGGTTCCAAAGAAAAAACCCTTCGTCGGTGTGGGCAACCGCGAAGTATGTAGTGCCCTAAGGTCTTAGGTACCCATTTGGAAAACCCTCCTTCCCATCTGTCTAGTTCTTCCTCTCAATCCCGAATAATAACCAACACCTGTTGTTTACAAGCTCCGACCGATTGCAATGCACCTGAAATGAAAGGTGAATTCTACAAGGACGGTTCTCAGTTATTCCAAAGTGTTCGATCGACGGACATCGTGGTAGTCCCCGGAGGCTTCTTTGCTAAATTGGGATCCCTGGACGAATCAGAAAGGTTTCTTGGCGGACCAAATGCAATCCCAGCCAACCGGACGGACAACGGAGATCGCCTACAACTGTGCGCGGACCACGGATTGCTCCTGTCAAACACGAACTTCTCGCACAAGAAATGACACCGCATTACATGGAAACCACCAATCTCTTTACTGCGCTGGACCCACATCGACCACATCGCCATCAGCTACCGCTGGAGAATGTTGATACAAGATTACCGTTCTTACTGATCCACACCTGTGGATACGGATCACACTTGGCTACGAGCCAAATTCTCCTTACGCCTGGCAAAAAACCGCAAGGCCACCGATAACGGATACCCACGATACCATGTCAGCGGTTGCTGCAAATCGGCCTTCGAAGCGGAACTCTCCGATTGTCTATCAGTTCAATCACCAGCCGAATGATTCGATAAACATTGGAAGCAAATCAAGGAAGCTATGCAAATATCAATAAAAACAACGTCGAACCCTGCCGCAAGCTGAAAACACAAACAATGGATCTCGTCGACCTTGGTTGCCCAGCGGGACGCCCGCAGAGCCCTCCCTTCGGATACCACATGACAGCGCGCATATCCGTCAAACGCCAGCTCATCAATAGTCTGACGAATGTCGCGAGAAGCGGTGGATAAGAAAGTGTAGAGAGATGGAGAAGGCTGTGGCTATTGGTAATAGTCACAATCTTTTCTGTCTGATTAGGAATACGGGCCCTACGAAAATAGGCGTAAGTGAGGTAATTAGGGAATCCGATGGCACACTGATTCACGATCGGCAACGCTGTCATGGTCGTTGGGCTGAACATTTCAAGGCTCTTTTTAACTGGTCCCTATTGACATATGAACTATCACCGTCCACGCCGACTGCGGAAATTGTGCCAGTCAATCTCCATCTGAAATGGAGGTTTCTCGGGAAATAAGTTATTTCAAAAGGCATAAAGCCTCCGGCCTCAACGGGCTGTCCCCATCGGCTTTTAAAGATGGAGGCTCAGCCTTAGTCTCGGAGTTAACAGAACTCCTGGGCTCAGTGTGAGAGACAGAACAAGTTCCAATTTGAATCGGTGATCATACCGATTTACAAGAAAGGTGACAGATCCTCTTGTGAAAACCACAGATGAATTAGTTTAATCAACATCGTCTATAAACTTCTCTCTGGGATCTTACTCCGTCGATTATCTGCCGCACGTGAACTGTACACGCATGAAAACCGGCCGAGGTTGTATCGACCACATCTTCACTCTTCGCCAAATTCTGGAGCACCACAGACTCACCATCTCTATCTTCCTGGATCTGAAAGCGGCTTTTGTCTCAGTCGACCGCTCTAAACTCTGGCACTGCCTTAACCTGAAGGGTGTGCTCGAGAAGTTTATTTCAATATTACGATCCATCTATATTCACCCGAGTCCACTACAGACAGTGGTGTTCGACAAGGTTACCCTCTCTCTCTCCACTTCTATTTAACTTTGTTATAGATTCAATTTTTGAAACAGCCCTATTCTCGTACGAGGATAGCGGTATCGATTTACTCAGGTGACACGTTGTCTGATCTAGAGTATGCAGACGACATTGTGCTAATAAATGAAGACCCAGGTAAGTTGCAAGCGTTTCTGGATAGTTTGAGTGCCAGTGTAGCCATATTTGGTATGCGTTTTGCACCTCCAAAGTGTAAAATGTTACTTCAAGACTGGGTTGGTCCTGCACCAAGCCCCTAACTGGTGAAGTAAGAGAGCAAGAGGATAAGTTTTGTTATCTGGGCAGCTACATCTCACCTGGTGGAGGTATCACGAATGAAGTGTCAGCTCGCATACAGAAGGTTCGATTTGCATGTGCCAACTTGGAACATCTATGGCACTGTCGCGATATCCGGCTGTCGGTGAAGGGTCGAGTATGTGCTGCGGTAGTTTAGCCAGTTATGCTATACAGAGCAGAAGCTTGGCCATTAAGAAAAACCGGATAAAGATAGACTTTCGGTGTTTGAACACCGCTGTCTACGCAGCATTGCACGAGTCTGTTGGGGCAGCCGGACGAGCAATGCTGAGGTCAGGCGAAAAGTTTCAGGCATTCGCGGTCGCCTACTGGAGCAAGTGGTCGACCTGCATAGATTACGCTGGTTGGGACATGTGTTACGCGTGTCACCAGGTAGGTTGCCACGGCGAGCGATGTTTGCCGAGGTAGGCAGTGGGTGGATGAAAGCCAAGGGTGGTCAAATTAAGACCTGGCAAGAGGGTATGAAAACCCTAACCAGTAGTGTGGGTTACATAGGTCCCGTTAGGCTCTCTGGCTGGGGACCCCGAGATGATGGTCACTGATGGTTGGAGACACTGATTGATATGGCTGGGTGTCGTAAACAGTGGCTTTTGTGCATCTTCTCAATTTCTCTGTATCTTTAATCCACTGAACCTCTCAATTTTTTCTTCGATCCTACTTTCAACCTTTCCTGTCTTTCTCCTAGAAATCCAAATGGGTAGCCGAAAGATAGCAACCAAAACCGGTGTACGATAGTGCATGGTTGTGCAAACTGAAACTGATGCAAATTGTACGCGAAAACTCCCCAAAAAGGCTGCAGGAATTGGTAACAGTCGTAATCTTTTCCGTCGAACCAGGAACACGAGCGCAGAATATGGGCATAACTG